CTCGCACATTGTCACCCCCCCAAAATGTGTGGAAAGGTGGGCGGACATGTCTCGGACTGCTGCTGCCGAGGTGTTGAATGTGCCGAGTGCTCCCAAGTGCTGCTGCTGCCGCCGGCGGGCATGGGGCGTCTCTCAAAATGAGTTGACACTTTGCATGTCAGTGTAATTTTGAAATATTAATCATATGGTATATGGCATGTGCAGCTTTAGGCGACGATGACTGCTATGCCAGCCAGCCAGCCAGACTGGGAATATGTTTGCTTGGCATGGCATGGGCTTCAGAGTTAGAACTGGTGCCGTGGCAGTTGAAACTATTGTTGCCGTTGCATATTACGTTACAGGCGAACATTAAGGACACACACTACTAGACCAGAACAGCAACACAGCCAGGACAAAGGAGAGCTTCGGCTGCATAATCAAATAGAAACTGCCACTGAGAGAAATGTGCACTAAAAATAATAATTAAATATTAAATTTAAGTGTTAAAACAACCAAAACTTTTTATTTATTTACTACAAATATTTATTTATTACTTTTATAAATCTACAACTAATTTCTCTCAGTGTTATTTTGCTTGGAACTCGCCTGGAGTTGGCATAAAGCAATTAGTGTTGCATTTTATGGCCTTTAATGTGGTAATGGTTTCGGGTAATTAACAATTATGTCTAACTGCAAATGCGACACGTTGCCGATTGCGTGTGTCCCAGTACCGAGTAGAGGGTCCTGCCCGCAATCGCCATCTCGTGGCACTTCCTTCTTGAGGTTATTACAAAATTTTGCATATTTCAAGTGGCTACCGAAAACTTCAACTCAACTCTGGCTGAAATCAAGCACACACCCACCCCTACAGCCTGCAACATTTGGAAGCGAAGAGAAGCAAAAGGGAAACTTCATTTCCATTTTCCAGCTTCAGCAGCAGGAGCAGCAGCAGCTGAACAAAGCAAATTAGCCATGGCTGTGAGAACTAACTAAGTGGTTTGCTTATTGTTAGTTCGTTTGGCATATTAAAATGCTCACAAATTGCCCTCACTTTTAGCCCGTAATGTGGCCCCCAAGTAGAAGCGGGGATCAACTCTGCTGCATTCCGCCAGATTAATTACCCATGCAAAATGTTGCAGCCCACTGAAGACAGATAGAGAGAGAGAGAGAGAGAGAGAGAGAGAGAGAGAGAGTCCCAGCGACCTAATGAGCCAAACTGCATCGAGAACAATGGCTGCTGCATATTTTATGTGTGTTTTGGTGGGTTGGGCTCGCATGATTAATATTTCCAGTTGAGCTCTAAAACTGGACAAACATTTTGAGTGCTTTGAGTGTATATTTGGGTGTTTTTAGCTCAAGAATTTCTTAATTGAATTAAGTTAAGCAGCTAACAAAATGACAGGTGTTTGCCGGCACCTGTTGCGGCTTGTGCACATGAGGACAGGTTTTGAATTTTCTCTTTTTGTAAAGGTTTCTCGCTGCTTCTTTCGTTTCTTTTCTGGTTCAGGCATCTCAAAATACCTTCAGAAATGTCACATAAATATCTGTGCTATCTGCCAGTCATAACTGCACTCAAATTCAACCTCTAAGCGCCATTTAGTGTGTCCCAATGGGGGAAATTGCAAATTTCATTTTAAACAGCAACAGACGCTCCTTAGGACATAATTAAAATGACCCAAGCCAACCTAATGGGCGGCTGCCCAATCCCCACGCCCGCACACCCCCGTGCGCATTCCCAATCCCGCAGAGATCGGGAGCCCCATTCTGCGGTCGTGACTGGAACCTCGGACTGGAAAGTCTATTAACGTACACTGAAACTGTTAATTTTGCTGATGCAATTTCGGCTCAATTTATTGTGCACCCACAAAATACAGTACAAAAAAATATCTGTGTGTGTGTGTGTGTGTGTGTGTGTGTGTGGGTGGCAAGCGGAAGCAGAGCAAACGAGGAAAACGAGCCGAAATTGAAAAGCCAAAGTACATAACAACAAGCTGGTGGCCAAACGCAGTACCTACCCCGCACAACCCCCCTGCTGCAACCCAAAAAATGCCAATCCCAGGCGCGAAAATCAATATAAATATGCTAGGCAGAGGCACAGGCACAGGCACATGGCCATGGAGCTCGCTCCCATCCTCTCTCTCTCTCTGTCTCGCTGTGTCTGCCTCTCTTTCGCTCTTGAAACATGAGAATTTATGTGCATTTTGTATGCAGGCGACTAAATAGACAAGACTAGGCGGAGGGTCCGTGCCGGCTGTGCGTGCGCCATACGAACAGAGAGACAGAGAGACGAGCCGAGAGACCAAGCGAACATAATACAATGGCTGTGCCAAGGACACACCCCACACCCCCACCCACTACACCACGTAACGATAAAACTTGAAAATTTGTTGCTGGACTGTGTGTGGGGTGTAGGCCTAATTTGACGCCCACTGCCACACCCATAGCGGAAATGCACGCACCATTGAGTAGTGTGTGTGTGTGTGTGTGTGTGTGTGTGTGGGAGTTGTATGCGTGCAATTTCAAATTTATGCACTGCACTGTAAAGCAGGCAAACATTTCCGCCAAACGCACACAGCGCCTCCACCCTCCGGGCCAGCTGGGGAAGCTCCTCCTGAAGCTGCTCCTTCTGAGAGAGAGTGCAAAAATCGAATGCGAGGCACAATTGTGAATTATTTACAGCATGCTTTTGGGGCTGACTGACGCGACTGCTTGCGCCTGCTACGCTACGGTCAGCGACAAACCTAATTACAGTTAGCAGTCGCACCCCGGCAGGGGGGGGGGGGGGGGGGGGGGGGGACACGCACGAAAGAGAGAGAGAGAGAGCAGAAAGCAGAGGCAAAAGGCAAAGCGCCCACAATGGTCGCCTTTGTGGAGTCGTTTAGCCGCGCAAATTGCTGTCCATTCAGTTAGCTGTTAGAGCCCTTTTGCCACTTTGCCACACACACACGCACACACACACACACACATACACCTCTGCCGAATTCAACTGCCAAGCCACATAACTTTGTGCCCCATCCCCCCCGCCACATTGCGACAACTGACTTTTCAACTCGACTTCGAGCCGACTGCAGTTTGTTGTTCCTGCTGCTCCTCTTCTTGTAGGAACAGGAGCTGGCTGGCTGGCTGGCTGGCTCCTGTCAAGTGGACAACGTCAGAGCCAACAACAACAACAACAACAAGAACAAAGAAACACAGCCTGCTGCAAAATATTGTGCAATGCGCTGCCAAATAACGAGAGAAAATAAAAGTTTCGCCAGAGCCTGAGAGGGAGGGAGGGAGGGTACGACGTGTGGCATACTGCGTACATTTTTGAACACTTTGAAATATAAAAGAAATATTTACTCGGGCATTATTATTGATAATTATTTTTAATTAAACATTTTCTTTTCTTTGCAGGTCGCACAAGGCCTTCCTAGTACCGATGCTACCCATGGCTATCCCTGTCACGGGGTATCCACAGATGGGAGGCGCTGTTACATCGCGCATAAACAGCAACAACGAAAAAGCTTTAACGGCAAATGTCGAACCACGGAGTCTCTCGACCCTCGAATGTCGAACTGCTCCGCAATGACCAAATGCGTTTGTTCATACTCCCCCCTCCTGTACGTGCTCCCTGTCCGTGTCCGTGTGTCTGTTTTATTTTACTTTTGCATATTTTTTGGCGTGTTTCAACTATACTGCGGCTCTGTCTCTACATTTTTCAAGTTGTCTGCGTTTGACGTGCACGGATGGGCGCTCCACTGCGTCGGCGGCAGCGTCAGCGGCAGCGACGTCGTCGGTTGGCGTAGTTACAGTTTTGCCCATCGACTCGTTGCCACCCCCACTCCCACTCCCAGTTCCACTCTCCCTTGTGCGGTTGTGGTTCGTTGCTTGGTTATCGCCAGCGCCACTACTCCATACAGTCAAAGACCACTGCCACTGCCACTGCCACCACGCCGAAGGACTAGCCGAGCAGCCAAAAAAGGGAGCCCAACGACTTGGCGGGTGCCCTGTCGGTGAGCCTGTTTTTTAGTGCCTTCCGTTACCATTAAATTTTACGTTTTTATTAGCGCGCACACACACACAGGCACAGACACACAGCTACAGATAGGACACCCCCCCCCCCCCCACACACTACGACTTTTGCCAGCAACAAGAACAATTTTTGAATATTTCCGTTTTGGCTGGCAGTTTTCGGTTTTCGGCTTGTCTACAAAATGCAGTTTTGCATGCACTTCGTCCGGGCGCGGGCCACAAAACAGACAGAAAAAAAAACAATAATAAGTGCAAAACGAGAAGCGAAAAAACGAAAAAAGCGAACAAGCAAACCAAAAAGAGGGCACAAAATCAAACAAAAAGGAGAAAGAGCTGGGGAGAGAGAGCGAAACAAAATTGCATAGCGCTTGGAAAGGCTATGATGATTTTTCTGCGTTTTTTTACTTTGTTTTTTCTCTGCTTCTTTCTACCCCTTTTCACTGCTTGCTTATGGCTTATCAACGTCTCGGATCGTTCGCTCAGGGGGGGGATAGTGAGTGTTGTGGGTGGGAGAGTGACTGCCAGAGCAAAAGTTGGCACAAAGATAGCGGAATATTGTCGCTGAACAAGAAGTTGCATATTTTTGAGCAAAACAGACAAGGGGGCAGAGGGGAAGACCAAACAGCACCACCATTAAGAGGCCACGACGAGGCCATAACCAACACCAGACCAATGTTGTAGTTGGGGTTGCAGTTGCTGTTGTGGGCGGGCTCGAAGCTCAAGCCGCAAATCGAATAGTTGCAGCCACAACATGTTCTGGGTTGCAGGGGTTGCAAAGGAACTCAAACAACGCATGAAGCAGCTCAAAAAACTCAAAGCACGCAAAGCACTCAAACTTCTGCCACGCTCAAACCTGCTGGCTGTGCTTTCAACCCTCGACAAGTTTGACATCCACAGCGACATCGGTTCGACAGTTGCAGGGGCTGACAACAAAAAAAAACTCTTATACGACGACATCAGAGTAGTCCCAACGGCAACACTCAGAGCGAGTTCGATCGACTCAATCTCTTTCGGAAACTCAAATTCAAAATTCAAACAAAATCAACAGCAACCGAAAATTAGTTAGAATCCCAGCTCCGATTCCTCCTCTAGGGGCAGACAAAATGAATCTCTGTAAATGGCTGTGGCGGCTGTGCGTGAATTTCTTCTACTACAATTATCCGTGCATTGCCATCTACAGCAGTGTGGGTGCCGTGATGACGGCCTATCTGCACTACCAACTGCGTATGCACAGCCTCGATCTGATGTACTGGAAGCAATTGGCGGAGTCCTTTGCTCAGGAGGTCGATCGCTTTCAGCTGTCGATGCTCTTTGTGATATTCCTGATCAATTCCGTGTTCGTGTTCGTCCTGATGAGCGTCTACCTGCGCCCTGGCTGGGGCCATGGCGTGGATGGTGAGTTGACGCTGCTGCAGATCAAGGATCGCTATGCCCGCTACATTCTGCTGCGGCTGATTGCCCGCTTGGACCGCATTCAGAGCCGACTGGCAGCGCGGCGGGATTGCCTCTGCCTGCAGCACTATGTGCGCGCCCACTGCAGCATGCGCAAGGCGGTGGCCCTCTTCCGCAAGGACGCCCGCAAGCTCATCCGGCCCAACGAGTCGGAGATCATGCTGCCCGTCGAGGCCATCTACCACGTGGAGGAGGAGGACGAGCGACACCTGCGGCGCGCGGGCTACTACAGGCTGAGCATCGACACCTCCGACGAGATGGTCAAGGGATTGCTGAACGCCATTTAAAAGCGCTTCGATTAAAAGCGATTTCGACTTAAAGTTTGAGTACATTTCAGGCTGTCAGCTGCAGGACAACGACTACGATGACTCTCTGTGGCGCTTTAATTGCTTTTATCAACTCTCCGTTCGGGCAGAGTGGCGTGTGGCTTGCCTTAAAGCCATTTTATTGTTTCAATTGTTCGGTGCGGTGCAGGCGCCTTTTGTTGCACTGCTCCACGCCTCGCAGGCCCTCGCACGGGAGGCGGACAGTGTAGGGCAGGGCAGGGCAGGGCTTTTTATGGCCGCATTGTGCGCCAAGCTAAACAATAACAAGCAAGTCGCAGACAGAGGCTCTGGCCGGGACTCCAAGCCAACAAAAACAGAAACAGAAACAGAAACGGCACCGAAACACAGAGACGGAGACGGAGACAGCGACAGCGACTGGTTAGCAGCTACAGAAAACGGCAACAGAAAGCGGCAACAGCAGCAGCATTTAAAACTAAAACTAAAACAAGATAAAGGACACGCTGCGGCACCGAAGTTTTGTATACTCTAGCGGCTATAGCGCTGCAATGGCAGAGCATTCTTAGGTCCTACCCTTTGGCAAGGGTATGCCAAAATGCCAGTCCATGTCTGTTAGTGCAGCTCAAAACAATATCTAATGTTGTCTACGGCAAAATATTTTGCCAGTGCCTTTTGGCAGTTCCAGTTCCAGTTGCTGTTGCTGTTGCTGTTGTCCTGCAGGCAGGCCTTTTGTGTTTTGTCTTTAAAATAAGCTAAAAGGCTGTGCAAATTCCAGAAGGGAAACTTAAGCAGAAGAAGGCACAAAAATAGGCAACCTTTAACATCATTTAAGTAGATCAAGGCGGCTCAATGCACTTTGCAAATAATGCAAAAAGAGTTGGCTGTAATATTTACTGTAAAGAAAATATTTTAAACTTTTATCAATATTTTGTAAACCCAATGGTTCTTTTCTTTCTGTGAGTACATTAAAATTCAACTGATTATTCTCCACTTCCTCTTCTTGCAGACTTCTTTGGCCACATTTCCATTCTCGATGACTTCAAAGCGCGGCACGCACCGTTGGCCCCAAAAAGTAGGCAACAAAAACAGCAAACGAGAAACTCGCTTGGAAAACCAAGGCAAAAGAAGCAACACGCACTTTTAACACATTTTTTGCCATGTTGGAAAGCTAATGCGAAAATGCTTACCAAATGACAGCCTAATTTCGGTTAATGTGCCGTATCGTGTACCGGCACACACACACACGTACTTGGGGTCCTGGTTTGGGAATATGGCAAACTGCATTACTTCATTCTGAATGCGCATTTTTTACGAGTGAGAGTAGGAGTAGCAGTGGAACCGGACCCACCCACTTCCCCTAGTTGTTGTTGTTATTGTTACTCCTGTGGCTCCTGTGGCTGTGGCGCTGGTGAAAAAGACATTAAGTAGATTATAGTCTGATTGCATATTTGCGGATATGCGCGCCATAAACACGTTCAGACGTGCTGCAACCGCAACAGCGGCGAACACCGTGAGCACACGGCAGCGGCAGCGGCAGCGGCAGCGCAACAGCCGAAAGCCAACACGAAAAAATACAACGCTGTAAAGCGTGCAACCAAACACAAAAAAAAACAAGCAAAAACAAAGAAATGTTGGAACAGGAAGATACCCTTTGAGGCTAGGGGTTTGGCAGCAATTTTGAGGCTCAAATAAAATAAAATTAGATCTCAAGCAATAACGAAAGGCATGATAGATAATACCCATGCAATAGTTTATCAAATTAATAATTTCACCCTTAAATATGAATTATTTTAATATTTATCACAGACAATAACGAGCTAAAACCACACAAAAGCTGCACGCTAAGGAGAAACTTTAAGCTATTTACCCACAGCTACATGCAGCCCAACATACCCTCGCTTAATGGGTGTCCAAAAACAAAAAAAAGTGAGTCCAAAACATGAAACATGAAAACGTACGCGCATCTAACCGCAGACAAAATGACGCCGCTGCTTCCCTTCCCATCCCATTCCCCTCCCTCGCCACCTAGCCCACCCGCACCTCTTTTCTGCAGCTTTCCCTTTGCCTTTTGGCTACTGTTTCGGCTTCTGTCTTGCCTGAAAGAGTACAAAGCCCAGCGTCTGTCTCTCTGTGTCTGTGTCTGTGTCTGTCCTGCCGGAAGCATAGAAATTTTCCAAAAACACATGTAGCGCTTCTTTCCATGTGTGTGTGTGTGTGTGTGTGTGTGTGTGTGTGTGGGTGTGTGTGGGTGTGTGTCATAAACCCAAATAGGAGCTATTACTTTATCGCCGAGGCAACGCCACAAAATGGCTGTCTATTGCAGCTAAATGCTTTGCTTTTCATGTGTGAGTGTAGCTCAAGGGTCTGTGTGTGGATATATGTAGGCTAAGGGTGGGTTAGGTTTGTGGCATGTTTGGAGCTGCGGGTCAGGGGTGTTAATTTCATCAGGTGGAGAGAGAGCGAGAGAGAGAGAGGCCCGCAAGCAATAAACAAATAATCATAAATAATGTTGCCTTTTTAACATCGGGCTCTAAATTAGCTATTAATTGCTACACCGCCAGCAGCTGGACTCGAAGCTCCCGAAGCGCTGATGGGGTGCTTCCTCCCACAACCACTCAACATAGCGTTACGACCACCCACCCACCCACTTGTGTGCCCCCCCCCCCCCCCCCCCCCCCCCCCCCCC